ACGCACGAATGGCTTCTTCGTTTGCGTCTTCTCGAACCTCAGCCAAAACATGGTGATTTTACCCATGAGTCAATCCCACGTGCGAACATGCGATGTCTCTGCGATCGATGTGTCTCTGGAGCAACCGACATTTCTTCACACGAGAATACAACCAGCTAAATTCTTGGTTTCTATTGACTGATGCATTTGGGGAATCCCATTGAACACATATTCAATCCTTTGCACGATTCTTTTTTTCAAGATCCTTTGGAGTAAACCCTTCAAGTTGCAGATCCAAAAGCGCTTATTAGGTGAGATTATTTCCTTTGTTGAAGTCTAGACGGAAGCATTGCGCGATCATGAACAACAGGATTCTCCCTTTCAGTGATCGGCGTTCTGCCTGACATTGCTCTGCATATGTCTGAAAGCGAATACCAAGCTCTCCCTTTAGATGATTGGGATCCATGAACAGGGAACCGAGATGAATATCCAACCTTGGCACAAGGCCACTATCGGTCAAATGTGCATCAAACCCTTCCATCAACCATCCGAGAATGATATCTTTACCTATTTGATCAATGATTGAAAGACTAATTACCAATGTGTCGCGCCAGGAACGAAACTCGGCGGCACTGGACGGCAAGGCTTCAATCTTGACATAAAACAAATCCTTGGAACGATACATGTTTTTCTCAACCATGGTGGTCACCTCCGAGCCTACGCCGATCGAATGAAACCCTCGAGATCCTCTTAGATTCCCTTGCGTTGAGTATCCCCCTGGCGATGGATGATTCGGTGGGCCTGGAGGACCTTTTCGGTCCCTTCGCAAGTTATCAAAACCTAAATGATTCGAAGCATACGACGATGGCGACGATGGCAGTGACGGTTGTAGCTTTGATGTTTAAGGGAAATGGAACAAAAGATTCGATTCGACCTGATCGGGAGGAATACCGGCACATGCTGAATGAACTGGTGACACAAAGTCAATTGTGGATGGTGTGCTTATGCGATGTTGTTCTGTTGGCATGGATATAACGACAGGTATGAATGATATATCTTTCTTTCTTTTGTCTTTTGATCGCACCACCTTGACCTCCGTTCGCCATTCATCAATACATTTTTCAACTCATCTCCATCAACCGCGTCATTTTGGTCGACCAACACTGTGGGCTGTTGCGAATTTGCTGATTCATGACGAAGAACAATCAATTGATCTTGCATTATCTTGACAATCGAAATGAATTCATCTTATCTCTTTTGGGATTATATGAGAAATTCTTGCAATTGAGCATTGGACCTTTCTGAATTTTGGAATTGAATAATCATTTGTTAGTGCATGACATTTGCAATATCTTGGATTTCTTGAAGCCTACGATGCAAAGTCCGATTGCAGGTCATGGATATGCCGAGTCGCCTGACCTTCTATATTTTGGACGGTCGAATGCGCCTCACTCTTTGCAGCCTGTGCATGAGCTGCTGCAGCCGAGATGGCCTGAGAGGCAACGATGGGATCCATGCCAACGATCTGAATTGACCTTTGGTCAACCTCCGTAAGGTGTTAATGCTAATTCTGATGGACAACCCTTTGATCCCCAATTTCTATTCGATGCAAATGAACCGACCTTTGATCGATTGATGCTTTGGAACCTTCATCAACTTCCATGGGCGATTTGACAGGGACAACTGATCCATTACTACGATGGCTTGCAATTTGTGGAATTGGAGGCTTACCTGATGAACTCCTCTGGTTGTTGGGGGGCCTTGGATCTGTGGCTCCGGGCGTTGTGCTCGAGGACACCTGGAGTGAGGACGATTCATTATGTTCATTCTCTCCGGACGGTAACTTATGCACTTGCGGCATTGCAGACGGATATACGGATGCAAACGCATCTTTTCTCCCTCTATACGTATGGTATTTGTTGTATTGCCTTCATTGTTCTTAAGCTTCTCGCACGAGAGGAAGGACAAATTCAAGGGCCTCAAGCACGCTCCGCCAATATCGAATGCCGTCAGCCTTTGGCTTCCTTGGAACAGCAATGCCAATCGCCTTCTGCTTGTCATTGTGTTGGTCAAATTCTTGCAAGACCTCCTTGTTGTCGTCAATGTAAATAATATTTAATATATCTAGTGATTCGGAACAAATTCATCAGGGCGCGCAATTTGTCCCTAACTCCGTTCCTTTCACCAGGCACAATGTTGTAATCAACAAAATTCTACGCACAGAAAGGATACCACGCCTGAATGGCAATTTGTGGCAATATCTGTTGATGACAACCATGGTGTTCTCAGCTCGCGCAAGCGGCTCCAATTTGCGACAAACCAACTCGTGAAGCAAATAGCTCTCCGGTCGACAGGTCTGCCTTTAACTTATACCGATCGTGTGATTCTAATATCAATCGATATTCATCAAATATTTGCACCTATATTTTCTCCCAATCACCCAGTCAATTCAGGGTTGAAATCAACTCCTCTTGGCAAAAATACCAAATCCAATTGCGGAGGAATAGCCTTTGGCGGCGGCTGTTCCAAAAGGTGCTCCTTGCGACTCGGCAGTTGCCCGTCAATAATTTCCTAGCATTTCTCTGAGATCTGCTGCAACCTTCGCCGAATCTTCGATTACGTATCGATCGGAACAATATCGAACACGTCCCTTAAAGCAACCTCATATAATATTGCAGATAGATAAAACGAAATTTTTGCTTGTATGATTTACCATCACGATTCTCAATCTAAATCCATAAAATGAGAATATTCGCTAAACCTTAGCGGCAAAAAAAGATATCACGAAACATATATTTCGGAATATATAAACGATATGTAAGGATAAATCTAAGTCCTAATATTTCTGCATTAAAAGAAATTTATATTTGCTTTGGAAGACAAAAAAAAATTGTATTTATTCTTTTATTTATTTATCCTTTTAAAATTTATTTTATTATTTATGCCCAAATATATAGGCATTAAAAGAAAATTTAATTAATATCTTTTAAATATAGAGATTATTAAATATTACAATTGCAATTATATAAATGTCAAAACAAATTATTTAAAATAATATATTAAAATCCAATTAATTATATATCATCCTTCGCTTCAATTAATTATTTTTATTATCAATTCATAAAATATAATTTAAATATATAAATTAAATAAGAAAAAATATTAATATGCAAATACAAACGATAATTCAAATTATACGAAAATAAACAATATTTTATATAATTATAAATTAAATCTATTAATTAATTTTAAAAACAAAAATTATAAATATACACTATTTTCCATATAATTTTTAAATCAAATATAAAAATAGCATTTACCAAAATAACATTATATTAAATAAATATTTATTTATATATAATTATATTTTAGTTATGTAATAATTTATATATATTATATTTTATAATAAAATAACTAAATATAATATTTTAACAAAAACATATTATATTCCATTTCCTTTCAATATTTATTCTATAATTCATCCATATTATATTTCAAGATTCCAATAATATATTTCAGTATATTTCGGTGTTAAATAAGATATATTATTTATGGCTAATAGTAATATTCGATATAATATCTCCATATATTTCCATCAATTTATATCTTTAGCATCACCAAGCCACCCAATATCATCTTCTTAACAATCCATAAACACCAATAGGCCAACGTCACTTATATCTCCCCCCAATCCCCTAATTTCGATTTTCGTTCGTTGCCCTAACTTCAGCCTAGCCTATCGGCTAGCTAGCGTCATCAGTTGTCTAATGAATGATTGTGTTGCTTCCTGTGCTTATCTCGCATATATGTGGAAAATTCCTTGTGGACTCCTTGCAGGACACGCTACAGAATAAGAAATGCATTGCTTCAGCAGGCATTATTTATTAACCCCTTATGGGTTCCCAGTGCAGCGTTAAAACACCTTTCGATGAGAGCCCCAGCATACAGCCTAAAAGTAGGTCCCTGTCCAACCAACAGAGTTTGCTTGTTTGGGAAAAAGAGACGACTTTCCGCAGAGCCTTCACCCCAAGGCAGGGTAGCAATCACTCAAAAAAAGTGACGACATTGTCTTTTGCCTGTATATATCTGTATATTGATATCCGCCGATCCCAGCGAAGAGGGGCAGCGCGCCAGAGAAGAATTTGTCGTGATTCATTTATACTACCTGTACTCCTTGCCATGCTATCCTGGCCATGGTGGGTCTTGGACTTACTGGATAGATTTGGACCTAGAAGTGGAGTTGAAGTTGAATATAGGTGTCAGAAAGCGACGTTTGCCACGGGGTCCAGCGCTCATTCGGACCGTTTTTGGTGTTGAACAACATGACCAACTACCTCGCTAACTCAATGGCTGCCTTCCTACACATCCAGGCTACTGTTTAACAACACTCCTAACTCCTAACTACCATCTACACTACTATATGTTTGCACCGGGCCATGGTAAGAATATAACTCCCTATACCACATGTATTCACGAACTTACACGCACACGAAAGATACCGCACATCAAAAACCAACCCTAGTCCCTCTCGCGTCTGAATATGCCCCTTGCGAACACACGTTGACAAGGCCTTCGCTACCAAATATTTTTCTTCGTACTACGTGTTCTCCTTGCCATGGTATGCACTAGCCTTTCAAAAACTTACAGCCACATGGACATACTACCATTAAACCGTGCGATAAAATGTCTCTGTGTCCATGGCTAGAGACCTCAGCGCCATGTTTCGCATGCGACGTCTTTTACTCAGGTCTTTCCCTGTAGTGTTTCCCTCCTGATTGCATCCATAGGTTGTTGCCTGTGTGTTGATTACCGTGATACGTACGTGTCTTGGTAAAAACTAACGTTTCGGTAAGTTAGACAAAGGCAGCGCCTGTGCAGCACATCCTTATGCAGCAGGTGCCTGTGTCTAACTTCCCGCTACTGTTCCAGTACCAACCTAAACAAGATCCTACAGGTGTCGTATCTCTCTAGGGGTCGGCGGCAGGGGCGTAGCCATAAATTTTATTTATGTAACTGTATTTTGTTTTAAGACTTCTTTGTCTTAGTTTCAATATTTTTGGTAATCGCCTCGTTGATTGATTACTTTACAAAATTGAAATGGAACAATGTTGAAATATTGCTTTTGCGACAAGATATGTTTGGAAACACCAAGGCACGTAACTGATCACACCCACAATGGCAACGGCCACACCAGCGAGGCGCAATAGCCTGGCATGATGTGAATGTGAGTGCTCATTTTGTCAATCGCCGCGTTGTAAGCCAGCCGAGGGGTGCAGCCACCGAAGCGGTACCCGGACCTAAAGGGCACTAGAATTGGATGGAATGTGCAATACTACTGTACAAACGTCTTGCCAAGCACCATATTGAAGCCCCGAGATGGAAAGAACTGTGTCAGGGATGACATTGCATGAAGCACAACCATAGGAGAGCAAGGATAAATTCAAGTGCAGCCTTGGTGCATCAAAGAAGACGTAGCCAAAGGCTACAACAAGGACAGTCTTCAATTGGCCAATGACCTCGAACCGTGCGAAGCCTTGTTGACTCCGCTATCTCAGTCAGTCTCACATCCTTGAGAATTGTCTGATGAGCAAACTCTATCAATACTGTTGGGAAGTAGCCAGCAGGATGGCGCTGATGACAAGTGCAAGACATGTTGTCATGTTTCCTGTAGACTGTAAACTATACAGAACCGTTTGAAGAAATGCAGCAAGCCCGTCTGTGCCTGGTATGTTACTGGAGATGTTTTGCCGATCAGCCCATAGACCTTACATCATTCAATCGACACCGCTCAATGATCCTTTAGGATGTTGGGATATTCCAAATTAAAAACAAAGTAACAAACCTAGCCTAACAAGTCAATAACTTACTTGGCACACGGCACGGTGCTTGGTTGCCCTTGTTTACAGCTCTTGTGTGTTTGGTCACTGAAAGGGCACCGACCGAGATATTGGTACACACTGCCAGGATATTGCAGAGTGCAATCCAATAGAGGTCGCCTGGATACGCAGGGGGTGGGGCACTCGCAAGTTGCTTATCGTCTTGTCAGTTCTGAGTTCCTTTTGCTGATGAGGATTGCATTAAGCATCACTTGAGGCTTGCGATGTCAAGTATCCGCGCAGTGGAGTTTGCAAAAAAGGGATTCCAGGCGTCCCCAAATTTCACAGGCCTTTGTCTGAGAGCTTGTGCTCCAGCAAACTTGAAGGTCTCATCAGGAAGAGCGCCTGAAAGGGACTTCAAGGACATCCTTTCAAACATGCCACCAACCTAGAGTTGAAATCTCAGCACACGCCGAACGCTACAGACTAAAACAAAACAGATAAGATCTGAAAAGTCTCTTCTACCACCAAAAGTGCCAGCCTTCACCTGAGGAACCCAAACCTTAGCTGAATCAGAGAGCCTTCAGGCGTTGTTGGAACTGAGGACTCTTGAGACAGTTTCATCTGTGAGTAACAGCTTGAAAAGACTCCATGTCAAAGCAAGCTACGTCTGCCAGCAGGGAACACACCATGCCAGCCAGGGATTGTGGCCAAGCCTTAAACACGGAATGTGATGAGAGAGCGAGATTGTAAAGCCGCTCTTGACTGTCGTCAACAACACTGGCATGCTGGCTAGCCATCGAGCGAAAGAGATACACTTGCTCTAGAAATGGATAGTTCAGTACTAGCTTCTAAAGCAAGTTTCAGCACAACCGCTGAAATTGGATACTGAGAAATCCCACCACAGAGTATGTGATTTGCGTCGCAGTCACTCCGTGCCTCGACAGAGCGTCTTCTCAATCACTGCGCTCCCACATTCTTTCAAAGAAACTGCATCGCACCAGGCAAGTCAAAAGCATAAGCGTTGAAGGACTGGATAGGGCAGCTCATCAGGCTTCTGCTCGTGCTGCTTTGAGCCCTGCCAGATCTGGTACTGCGCCTGGGATAGTACAAATTATTCAAACCTCGAAGAAAAATCGAACAGAGAGCCACAGCTCTGAGACAGACCATCTGCAGATCGAACTGGCAGACTGTTGGACTTCCTTGGAGTGCGTGGGCTGAGTGTGACGCCGTGCTAATGATGGACATGAGAGCCAGAATGCTGCCGCGAACCTGGGAGATGGCCACTGAGCTCCAAATACTTTCAACCAACGCGACCGTATTCACCTTAGGCCTTGGACTGAATCTACAACTTAGCATATCTTGCCATAGTTTACCCTTTACAAGAGACCACAACGCCTTTTTTTGAAAACAACAACCCTTTATTCAAAGGACTGCTGCATCTTGCCACTCCAGTTTTCTCTAAGACTCGCGCATTGACCTCGAAATCAGACACCGTAGCGAGGGCAACCTGGTGTCTGAAAAGGCTGCCTTCCATTTGCATCGCCCCAAAAAGCTGAGTGAAGTGCCCCAATACCAGTCACCACAATGCTGAGGATCACCTGTGACAGCTTCTTCCAAAGCTTTTCTGCATGCGAGTGGATCTTAATCAGCGAAGTTTGAAGCTATCACTGACGATCCATAAGCGGCGTAGCGTCGGAACGGAAACCGCACCTTTTCTAGTCGCTTGATCCTTGAGCCAAAGTACATATGGTACATATATATATGTACAAGTTGCACTGTACGTGTCGCTGCACTTCCATTCGCACCCCCCATGTGAACGGCAACAATATGTTCCGATCACACACGAAAATTTAGGGATGTAAGTGCTACAAAAGAAATTGTATGATTTGCCGCGAGACTCATATGAGGCTCATACTACGAAACATGCTGGACTAAAGCGGACTTTTACATATAAAGTGTGCAACTATGGCTCAGAACCTATGAAAATCGAATTGAACAAGTGAGACAGTCACGAGGCCTCGCTCAGTATCCACTCAAAAGAGCATCGCTTTGATGTAGATCCGAACTGGTGACTTCCACGTAGATGTCACATCGGCAACTGACTTCACACTTCTCAAAAGATGTAGGTTTTTTTGGTTTGGATACACTTACAGAACGGCAAGTCGGAGAGACAGTCGGTGACTGTCTGCCTTCCATTATGCTCATGGTATCAAATCAGATTGACGATTTGCAACGATACACTTACAGCGTTTCAGGTCAGATAAACATCCGGTGAATGATTTCCTCCCTGGTTTGCATGGTATCCTCATAGTCGTTCAAAGAAATCACCACTGGCGATAACCTCTCCATCCACGATGATCCCAGCTGCCCTGAGCATCCCACCGATCATCTTCTCCCTTCTTGGACTTTCCCTTGGACTTGCTCTTTCCCTTCCCCTTTTCAGAAGGTTGAGGTACTTCGCGACGTTCTTGCGTTAGCGCCGGCCTCCAAGATGTTCCAGATTGGCCTCCTCCTTTGGAATGTCCTCGGGATGATGAAGAAGTTGTACCTTCTGCTGCATGTGCGTTGGCGGCAAGATCTTCCTGCAAAGCTTGCTCAAACACATCGGTAGCACTGGATGGTGATTTATCAAGTGGTCTGGCTTTTGGAGCAACCTTCGCCTTGTTCTCCTCTGCTGATGAGGGCCCGAAACTCTTAGGTGCTGTTGAAGGTTTTGGCTCCTCACTTGGTGCTGACGACGGCTTGGCCTCGGTTCTGGGTGTAGATGCTGGCTTTGCCTCAGCTCTTGACGAAGATGCTGCTTTCGCTTCAGACTTAGTCGTTGATGTTGACTTAGCTGTTGCCTTGGCTGCCTGCTTCTTCTTGCCCTGAATCTCCTTGGCCCTATCTCCAAAGCCTAGACGATTGGTAAGAGCTTGAACATGCTTATGTTCTACCACGCTCATCCATCTCTCTGTATGTCCAACGTTGGGGTTTCTGGCCATTGACTCTATGACTTCCTGAGCTTGTGGGGGCAACCTGATCTCATGTTGATCAATGATCAACAGAATAGACTTCTCCCACTTGCTCTTCATTCTCGAGTACATGATGTCCAGAGGATCGATCACCTTGTGGTAGGGTGATGTAACGTCGGTTCTAAAGTAAGAATATGTCCGACGCCCATAAATCGCATGGATGCACTTCTGTACCAATTCAGTCATTGCGCTGGCTTTCTTCGCTTTCAACTCCTCAAGCTGGGCATCAGTCAAGTTGGTGGGGTATTCGAAGTTGCCATATTCCTTCTTGAAGGATTGCGGAGTATGACCAAATGATAGGATCACGAGTGCCACCTTGCAAATGAATTGCTCTCCTCTGAATCGGTGCCAGGCCTCCTCAGTCGTAATATTGTTGTCGTTGGCAAAGATTAACATCATGTCATCTGTTGGATCCAATGGTCTCCCATCGTCATCGATTTCAGTGGAATCCCCTGTACCGAACTTGCTTATCACATCCAGTCGCTTCCTTTTCCAATTTGCTTTGAAGTCGGTAAGGCTGGTGCAATAGTAGCTCTTGTACATCAGGGAGATCATGTTCAGCACACATTTGACCACATACCTATCCATCAAACCCGATGCATTCATGGAGACGTCCTGACAGTAGGCTCTCTCTTGATGCGCATAGATTCGAGGTTCCGGTACTCGACAATAGATGGGGAGATCTTCGTTGTCTCTTCCTTCTTCGGGATTGAACCCGGTCGCTCCATGCTGTGCATAGTATCCCGGTTCATCACGATCTGTCGGTCGATTCGCCTCCGGATGTAAGTCGTCGGTGACGTCTTCATCCTCGGGTTCACCATCTTGACGTTTCTTCCCCTCATATTGTTGTGTGCTCCTCTGGATCTCGATGATCACGTTTCGTTCGTCTTCATCTTCTAGATCAGAATCACGACCGTAGTCGATCTCGTCCTCATTGAAAGATGGGGTCTCGACATTGTCACTCTTGAAGTTTTCTGCACCATCAGACGGTTTGGAAGGATCTAGATTGTCCATGTCCTCGTCGTCGTCAGCTGCTTCAGTTTGAGCGATGTCTTCTTCCCAAGCCTTTCTGATCTCGTCCATAGTGGCCTGGTCCAATATATCTTGATCATCATCTTCAGGCTCCTTCTTTTCCTTCTTTTCCTCTTCATCGTCGCTCGCAAGATCAACGGGTGAATCGGAAATGACAGTGTTGCGAATACCACACGAGAGTAGCCTGCTTTGACAAGATAGACACACGGACAAAGATGAAGAAGTCAAATGCATACATGATGGACACAAAATATTGCCATCCACGTTGCGATACCCTTCACATGTTCTGGAGATGATTTCGTCCCAAGTTTCCTCACTGATGGAATCCTCGATCAGCTCTCCATTGTCATCGAATTGTACTTCATCGATAAGGGACACGAGCTTTTGGACGTTGTCATCTGTCGCCGAGGCTGACTTCGTGACTTCGTCGGCTCTCTCGAGGATGGTATGCTTCTGAGCAACCCAAAGTCCATGACGTGCCGCTAGAACAACTTGCTCTCCAGTGCTTCCCAGCAGGAGTCTCCTCCATGCCTGAACGTAGTCGTCCCAATACCAAGCACCTCGTACACATCTCCATGGAACTTCTCTAAAAACAACAGTGTAGGAATTCTCCGAAATTCTTCCCCCAAGCTTCCTCAAAGTCATGATTGGAACATAAAGGCAAACGGGCATTCCCACTCTTGGCCATCTTGATCTCAGAATCTTTGATGATCGATCATCCCACGGCGCAAAGTGGTTGAAGAAAACACTACCTCTATATCCCTCCGTTCCACCAGGGACAATTCCTAGTTTCATGATTGACTCAATATTGGAAAGCGATGTCATGTGAAAGCTTCCTCCAAGCTGCATTGCCACATTCTCTGGAATGAGATGTGAAGTCCACACAGGATATATTGACACATCCTCTTCAAGAACAGTCTCTCTTCCAGAATTGTGAGAGGCAACAGCTCGAATTGCACAAGGAACGATCCAACGTTCATGCTTCAGAAATGACGGTGCATCTGTGCTGTAGTACATGAGGTTTGCCCAGTATTGCCTTTCCTCTTCGAGTGAGACATCCTCCCTTGAGATACGAATGGCGGCAATCTGATAGCGTACTCTGTTCTGCAACTTCTTTGCACGCCACATCGCCTTGCGTAAATACTGGTATCGCTCTGTCTTGACATCTTGACGATGCCGATCACCTGAGATAGTACTGATATCGACACCATCGTTGAAGACATGGTCATATTCCAGGATCTCATCGATGTTCACCCATCCACCCTCATTGCACTTCGGGGACACATGAGGTTTTCGACCGCGGTGCGATTGAATCCCATTATGCTTTCCCACTCCATGCCTGAGTAGTCTATTGAGTCTATGGCTAACCTCGTTGACCCGCTGACTCTCCTCGCTGAACTTGTCGATGCGAGTTGCTGGGTTCATCTTTGGTGGATCCGTGAAAGTTGCATCTCTCTTCGGTCCATTCCAGTACTCCACATAGAATGTAACTCCATACTGTGGAATTATCTCGATGCTTCCTCTATCGCAAGTCACCTCAATCTGCCGATATCCAACCTTTTGAACTTGTTGTGGGTCAGGAGCAAGGTCCTTCACTTTGGGCATCTTTATTCCGAGTGCTGCAGCCTCCTGAATAAGTGCATCAAGTTCCCACTTTCCATTAGGACCTGATCTATCAACCCTGTGATTTGCGACCCTGTACTCTCCTCCTTCTTTGTCATCGGCAATGTCAAAGAGGTCGACGGGCTCTTTGAATCTGGTGACGAAACTGGCGTTCCCAAAGGCCTTCTTGGTTGCCTCGACCGCTTTCGCGTATTCCTCTTTTGCAGAGTCTGACGAGTGTGGTCTACCTTTGGCTCTCGGAGAGTGAGGTGGTACCTTACCTCCTAGTTCCGGCTCTTCTTCGGGAAGTTCAATATCTTCATCATCCACATCCATGTAGTCCTCGTCTTCGACGTCTTTGGATGACTTTGCTTTCCTCTTTCGGCTTTCAACATCACGTCGGATGATTGCCTTGTCGTCCTCGGTGAAGCACTTGCGCATAGTGTCCTCCATGTGAGAGAATGAGTTCATCAACTCGTCCTTCTTCTCAGTGTTGGGACAAATAGCCAGGTGATGTTGGTTTGAACCACAACAATAGCACACCTTTTGGCTCACTGCGCGTGCTCTGACCCTTCTGAGGTTGTCATAGGCGGTTTTCCAGTTGGAAGCGGTTGCTGTACCTTGCCCACTGCGCTTGGCAGCTCTTTTCCGTTCTTCAGTATCTGGATTCGATGTCGGGTAGTGCGACCATGTTTTCGTCGGGGATACTGAACGACCTTCCCCATCCTTGTAGTCTTGCGGATCAAGCTCAGGCGTAGGTGGTTCAGGCTCCTCGACTCCTGGAGTGGTACTCGCAGGGTCGGCTTCGCCATCCTTCATCTCTACATCAGGCTCTTCCGTAGACGTTCTTTTGGGCTCTGGGGCTATGGTCAGTCGTACCGTTCTCCTGAACTCTGGTCTGGTAGCATACCTGGACATGACGGCATCGATACAGGCTTGTTCTTCAGCTG